TTATCAGTTGCATAGTTTGCAAATATTTTTCCCATTCTCTTGGTTGCCTCTTAAGTTTCCTGACTTTTTTTTTCCTTACATAAACTTCTCAATTTGATGTAATCCCAGTTGTTAATTTTGGCTTTGACTTCCTGTGCTTCTGGGGTCTTTTCCAAGAAGTCTTGGCCTGTGCCTACGTCTTGCAGGTTTTCTCCAAAGTTCTCTAATAATTTGATGGTGTCAGGTCATAAATTTAGATCTTTAATCCATGTTAGAGGGATTTTTGTGTAAGGTGTAAAGTGTGGAAATTCAGTTTCCGCAGCACCATTTGTTGAATAGACTGTTCTTGCTCCAGGAATTGGTTTTAACTCCTTGATCAAAAATAAGTTGGGGGGCCGGTGCTGTGGCACAGTGGGTTAAAGCCCTAGCCCGAAGCACTGGCATCTTATATGGGCACTGTTTCTAGTCTCAGCTTCTCCTCTTCTGATCCAGCTCTCTGCTATGTCCTGGGAAAGCAGTAGAAGATGGCTCAAGTCTTTGGGCTTCTGCCTCTATGTTGGAGATCTGGAAGAAGCTCCTTCTCCTGGCTCCGGATCGGCGCTGCTCTAGGATTTGCGGCCATCTGGGGCGTGAACCAGCAGATGGAAGACCTCTCTCTATTGTCTCTGACTCTCTCTGTAACTCTGCATTTCATATAAATTAAATAAATCTTATAAAATAGAAGTTGGTTATAGATGTTTGGATTGATTTCAGGTGTTTCTGTTCTGTTCCATTGGTCTATAAATCTGTTTTTGTACCAGTACTAGGTGATTTTGATTACAACTGCCCTGTAGTATGTCTTGAATCTGTTATTGGGATGCCTCTAGCTCTGTTTTTGTTGTATAAGATTGCTTTAGCTATTTAGGTCTACTGTGCCTCCATATGAATTTCAGCATTTCTTTTTTCCAAATCTGAGAAGAACATCTTTGGTATTTTGATTGATATCACATTGAATCTATAAATTGATTTTGGAAGAATGGACATTTTGATGATATTGATGATTCCAATCCACAACCATGTAAAATTTCTACATTTTTTGGTATCTTCTTCTATTTCTTTCTTTAAAGTTTTGTAATTCTCATCATAGAGTTCTTTGACATCCTTGGTTAAGTTTACTCCAAGATATTTGATTTTTTTTAGCTATTGTGAGTGATATTGATCTTAGAAGTTCTTTCTTAGCTGTGGCATTTCCTGTGTATACAAAGGCTGTTGATTTTTGTACATAGTTTTTATATCCTGGTACATAGCCAAACTCTTCTATGAGTTCCAATAATATCTTAGTAGAGTTCTTTGGATCCTCTAAATAAAGAATCATATCATCTGCAAAGAGGGATAGTTTGACTTCTTCCTTTCCAATTTGATCCCCTTGATTTCTTTTCTTTTCTTTTGCCTAATGGCTTTGGCTAAAACTTCTAGTACTGTATGAAATAGCAATGATGAGAATGGGCATCTCTGTCTGGTACTGGATCTCAGTGGGAATGCTTGCAACTTTTCTCCACTGAGTAGAATGTTGGCCATGTGTTTGTTATAAATTTCCTTTATTGTGTTGAGGAGTGTTCCTTCTATACACAGTTTACTTAGAGTTTTTCACCATGATAGGGTGTCATATTTTTCAAATGCTTTCTCTGCATGTATTGAGATAATCATATGGTTTTCTTCTGCAGGTTGTTAATGTGGTATATCACATTGTTTGATTTGTGAATGTTGAACCATCCCTGCATACCAAAGATAAATCCCAGGTGGTCTGGGTGGATGATATTTCTGATGTGGTGTTGCATTCTATTGGCTAGAATCTTATTGAGGATTTTTGTGTCCATGTTCATAAGGGAATTGTTCTGTAATTCTCTTTCAATGTTGCATCATGTTTAAGTTTAGGAATTAAGGTGATGCTGGCTTCATGGAAAGAATTTGGGAGGATCCCTCTGTTTCAATTGTTTTGAATAGCTTGAGAAGGATTGGAGTTGGTTCTTTACATTTCAGGTAGAATTCAGCAGTGAATGCATCTGGTCCTGGGCTTTTCTTTGTTGTGAGGGCCTTTATTACTGATTCAATTTCTGTCTTGATTATGTGTCTGTTTAGGTTTTCTATATCTTCATGGTTCAAGGTAGGTCTTAGGTGTCCAGGAATCTATCCATTTCTGCTAGAATTCCCAGATTGTTGGCATACAACTCTTTGTAGCAATTTCTGCTACCTCTTTTAATTTCTGTGGTGTCTGTTGTTACATTCCCTTTTTCATCTCTATTTTTATTGATTTCAGTCTTCTCTCTCCTTTTTTTGGTTAGTTGGGCCAATGGGGTGTCAATTTTGTTTATTTTTTTAAAAGTACCTCTTCGTATTGCCGATATTTGGTAATGATTTTTAGATTCAAATTTGTTGATTTCTTCTCCAATTTTAATTACAGATTTTGTTGCTGGTGGATTTCTTAAGAGAGCCATTCTAACAGGAGTGAAGTGAAACCTCATTGTGGTTTTGATTGGCATTTCCCTGATGGCTAGTGATCCTGAGCATATTTTTAAGTGTCTGTCAGCAATTTGAATTTCCTCTTTTGAAAAATGCCTATTCAAGTCCTTTGCCCATTTCTTTCTTAATGGGGTTGTATTTTTTGTTGTTGAATTTCTTAAGCTCTTTATAGATACTGCATGTTAACCCTTTATCAGTTGCATAGTTTGCAAATACTTTCTTCCATCTGTTGATAGCCTCTCCATTTTGCTGCGTGTTTCTTTTGTGGTGCAGTAGCTTTTCGGCTTGATGTAATCTCATTTGTTAATCTTGGCTTTGATTGCCTGTGCTTCTGGGGTCTTTTCAAGAGTCTTTGCCTATGCCAAAGTCTTGCAGAATTTCCCCAATGTTCTCTAGTAATTTGATGGTATTGGGTCATAGATTTAGGCCTTTGATCCATTTTGAGTGTGTTTTTGTGTACGTTGTAAGGTATGGGTCTAATTTTACACTTCTGTAAGTGGAGATCCAGTTTCCCCAGCACAATTTGTTGAGGAGATTGTGCCTTCTTCAGGGATTTATTTTAGTTCTTTTGTCAAATATAAGTTGGTTGTGGATGCATGGATCGATTTCTGGAGTTAAGAGCCCATTACATTTATTCTCTTCTGTTTGTTGACTTACTTTTTCAGGGATTTCTGTTGAACTTCATCTGATATGTTACACAGGACAAAGTGCTTCAAGAATTCGAATGCAACTCATGAGAAAACAAAGATAAACAAATGGGTCAAATTTTTTGAAATTATGCAAAAACCATAATATATGGACATATTGGATAGTAGTTATTACATTTGTATTCCTGTATACACTGGCCCATGTGCTTAGGAGATACATTTTTTGAAAGTAGAAATGAGTTCTACATAATATCCTAAGATGACTCTGGGAAATACAGTGTGTTACAAAATCTGCAAGAATCAAGGAGCAGAAATTGTGGTCATATTTCTTATATATGAGACTATTGAGGATGCACATTAATTAGCACAGGATATGTCCTCTGGGTTACAGATGGTTTTGCCTGGATTTTCCTCACAGCTTATTTGAATCTACTGTTTCCCCATATATAGAATATATTCAGGAAGTTCTGTTTGCATGTGAAAAGTACAAATAGATGAATAAATTTGTTGAACAAATAGGTGTGTTATGTAGAAGACAAATATGTATATGTAAAAAATAACATCAGAAAGTTCACTTCATAATCTATCTTCTATTTTACTTATAGGAGTGTTTTATTTTTTATTTTACTTTTTATTTTTTTGACAGGCAGAGTGGACAGTGAGAGAGAGAGAGAGACAGAGAGAAAGCTCTTCCTTCACTGTTGGTCCACCTCCAATGGCCACTGTGGCCGGCGTCCTGGGGCCAGTGCACCACGCTAATCTGAAGGCAGGAGCCAGGTGCTTCTCCTGGTCTCCCATGTGGGTGCAGGGCCCAATCACTTGTACCATCCTCCACTGTACTCCCGGGCCACAGCTGAGAGCTGGACTGGAAGAAGGGCAACCGGGACAGAATCCAGTGCCCCGACTGGGACTAGAACCTGGTGTGCTGTTGCCACAAGGTGGAGGATTAGCCTATTGAACTGCGGCACCGGCCGAGTGTTTTATTTTTATTTGTGATTAGATTCAAACTTTAGAAAAGTAAACAGAATTCTTCCACAGAAATAACTATGGATTATTTGGAAATCTTCTGAAAATTATTTAAGAATTAATTGATAGCTATTTAAATATAAAAACTTAGTTTTATCCTGCAGCAGGTGTGTTGTACCCAGAATGTCAAGGGTTAACATATACTATCAGTAACCTCAGGACCATCAGTATATTTGTTTTTGGCCATACAGTCCTACCTGGAATGTCAAAGATAATCACACTTACCATAAAAAGTGACCCAAAATATTTAGAGAAAAAACACTCATGTATTATTTCAAGCTCTAAGATATAAATGCATATATCTATGTATCATTGCATATATAGAAGACATGCACACATTTTTATAAATATGGATCTCAGTGCTAAGAGGGGTCTTGAGTCAGTTCATGGAAAATGTATATGATGAAATTAGCATACATAGATATCTAATTTTTCAATCAAAATAACTGATATTTCATTCTGTTTTTGAACCTCATGAAGACCCTGTGTATGCACATAACTGTGACATATCACAACTGTCAAGGTATTTAAAAGACCAACCATGTTGTACTCAATTGGTTATATTAGGGTTAGCTTCCATAAAGCCCCACCTAAACCATCTGACTGCAGCAGAGCCTTGCAATAGTTCCCCTCTGAACCCCACAAACTACATTTTTTCTGACTGGATACAACCATTCTAATTTTATATTTGGGGGGCGGGAACAAATGTTCTCTTCACTAGAAGTTGTTGACCATCCAAAGAATTAAACCTGGAACATAGAGAGGAGGGTAGAAAATGCTTGTTCAGTGCATATACATCTCCCTCTAATTTGAAAGGTCTCCCTGTTTCCACTTATTCCTGTTCTCCAGCTTCATCCAATCCTGAGGAAAATCCAGTTTACAAACCGTGCTGGAGATGATGTGTCTTTCCATGAAACAAGACACCATGTGGTACATTATGATATTCAGAACATTGTAAATTTTCCTGCTGGATTTCGGTTGCTGGTTAAAATTGGAGAGTTTTCCTCTAAGAGTCCACATGACCAAGATTTGCTGATCAATGAAGACATTATAGAATGGCCTGTTGGATTCAAAAAGGTGCAGTTTTCTTTTTATATTGGATAACTACAGAGAGATCTGAGTAGAGCCTTGGGAGATTAAGTGTGAAGTGACCATGTGATTCCCATTTCCCATCTTGGCACTTAACTGATGGTGTTCCTTACACATATCCTGAGCTAACACCTATCAGAAGAGCATGAGTGCATAGCCTTACCTTTTCAGTTTTGTCATAATTATTGATGTAGCAGTTGAGTTAAAACTAGACAAAGTTAATGAATAGAGGCAGAGACCCATATATAGATATACAGATCTTTAACATATCTCTGTATATAATCTCAACTCTTTAATCTCATAAGTCACAGTCTTTCTTATTTTTTTTAATTTTTTATTTCAATGGCAGAGTTAGAGAGAGAAGAGAAGTGAGGGGAGATCTCTTCTGTCTGCTGGTTTATTCCACCAATGGACAATAGGCAGGGCTGGGCAGATCCAAAGTCAAGAGCCAGGAACTGCTTGCGGATCACTCATGTGGGTCAGGGGTCCAAGCACTTGGTCTATTCTCTGCTGCTTTCCAAGGCATGTTAGCAGGGAGGTGGATTGGAAGTGGAGCAGCTGGGAATAGAAATGGTGCCCATATGTTATGCTGGTGCATCAGGAGGTGATTTAATGTGCTACACCACAAGACTGGCCCCCCTTGTTTTATATGTATATATATATATATATATATATATATATTTAACAGGCAGAGTGGACAGTGAGAGAGAGAGAGAGAGACAGAGAAAGTCTTCCTTTGCCGTTGGTTCACCCTCCAATGGCCACCATGGCCAGTGCACCGCGCTGATCTGAAGGCAGGAGCCAGGTGCTTCTCCTGGTCTCCCATGGGGTGCAGGGCCCAAGCACTTGGGCCATCCTCCACTGTACTCCCTGGCCACAGCAGACAGCTGGCCTGGATGAGGGGCAACCGGGACAGAATCCGGCGCCCTGACCGGGACCCAGTGTGCTGGTGCCGCTAGGAGGAGGAAGAGCCTATTGAGTGGCAGCGCCGGTACTGCCCTTGTTATATTTTCATGCATGATAAGTAGAAATACATAATGGGTTGACTTATTCATCTTCTTGCAGATACTATTCCCATATTCCTTTACCACATAGAATAATGCATTTTAAAGATTTTAGATAAAGTGACTTGATATGCATGACATTGCCCAAGGGATCTAACTGATACTATATGAAATAAAACTGAGCAAGTATTTTTGTAATACTTGATAAAGAAATGATGAGGTGGGAATGATGATCATGGAAACCTGCATTAAATGTGATAGTCATGGCCTTCAGTTGAAGGTCAGGGTTATGCTGTAAGGAGGGAAGTATTGACACCCATTATAATGGCTGATAATGTGGAAAACCATGATCAATGCTTTTCTTTTTCCTTCAGACTCCTCAATCTGTGTGTAGCCAGAGCTGTGGTCCAGGATTTCGGAAAATGTCACAGGAAGGAAGACCTGTCTGTTGCTATACTTGTGTTTTTTGTCCAGAGAGAGATGTTTCCAATCAGACAGGTAAAATACAGAATTTAAGATTGACAGCTTTACTGTCCTAATTATTTCTCAATAAAAAAGAAACCAAAGAGATTTGCAGTGACTTCATACTGCACCACGGTTCTCAATGCCAGCTTATTCTCATTCATTCAGTATATCCATGCATGATTATTACTGCTACTTCTTTATGTGTAAGCTGTTGTCTAGTGATATTCCTTCTAAAATATATCTGAAAGTGTTAGATAAGACAGTATTCTTCTCTGATTTGCAGGTCGAACACACTATATTCTTTTTTTTTAATTTTTTTGACATGCAGAGTGGACAGTGAGAGAGAGAGACAGAGAGAAAGGTCTTCCTTTGCCACTGGTTCACCCTCCAATGGCCGCCACGGCTGGCGTGCTGCGGCCAGCGCACCACGCTGATCCGATGGTAGGAGTCAGATACTTATCCTGGTCTCCCATAGGGTGCAGTGCCCATGTACTTGGGCCATCCTCCACTGCACTCCTTGGCCACAGCAGAGAGCTGGCCTGGAAGAGGGGCAACCAGGACAGAATGCAGCACCCAACTGGGACTAGAACCTGGTGTACCGGCGCTGCAAGGCAGATGATTAGCTAGTGAGCCACGGCACCAGCCAAACAGATTATATTCTAAGACATATAAGATGTGTAATCACCTAGGCTTCCTGTTGGTGCCTAGAAGTCTTGAAATGAAAACATTTTTATACACACATGATAAGCACAAAGCTATTGCACATATTTCATTATATATTTATTGCATTCCTTTTTTAAAACTTTTATTTAATGAATATAAATTTCCAAAGTACAGCTTATGGATTACAATGGCTCCCCCCCATACCATCCCTCCCATCTGCAACCCCCTTTCCCTCTCCCTCCCACCTTCCATTCACATGAAGATTCATTTTCCATTTTCTTTATATACAGAAGATCAGTTTAGTATACATTAAGTAAGGATTTCAACAGTTTGCTCCCACACAGAAACATAAAGTGAAAAATAATAGATGATTTTTTTTAAATGATGATGAAATCAGATCAGAGCTGTTGTCATGTTTAATGCCGGTGAGAGTCAAGTTGGGAATTGATAATTTTTTTTTTACAGAAGATCAGTTTAGTATACATTAAGTAAAGATTTCAACAGTTTGCACCCCCATAGAAACACAAAGTGAAATATATTGTTTGAGTACTCGTTATAGCATTAAATCTCAATGTACAGCACATTAAGGACAGAGATCCTACATGAGGAGTAAGTGCACAGTGACTCCTGTTGTTGACTTTACCAATTGACACTCCTGTCTATGGCATCAGTAATCTCCCTATGCTCCAGTCCTGAGTTTCCAAGGCTATGGAAGCCCTCTGAGTTCTCCGACTCTTAACTTGTTTAGACAAGGTCATAGACAAAGTGGAGGTTCTCTCCTCCCTTCAGAGAAAGGTACCTCCTTCTTTGAAGACCTGTTCTTTCCACTGGGATCTCACTCGCAGAGATCTTTTGCCAGAGTGTCTTGGCTTTCCATGCCTGAAATACTCTCATGGGCTTTTCAGCCAGATCCAAATGCCTTTAGGGCTGATTCTGAGGCCAGAGTACTATTTAGGACATCTGCTATTCTATGAGTCTGAGTATCTCCCTTCCCATGTTGGATCACTCTCCCCTTTATTTATTCTATCGGTTAGTGTTAGCAGGTACACTAGACTTGTTTATGTGCTCCCTTTGACTCTTAGTCCTTTCATTATGATCAATTGTGAACTGAAATTGATCACTTGGAATAGTGAGATGGCATGCCACCTTGATGGGATTGAATTGGAATCCCCTGGTATGTTTCTAACTCTACCATTTGGGGCAAGTCAGCTTGAGCATGTCCCAATCTGTACATCTCTTCCCTCTCTTATTCTCACTCTTATGTTTAACAGGGATCACATTTCAGTTAATTTTCAACACTTAAGAATAACTGTGTGATAATTACAGAATTAAACCAGTCACATTAAGTAGAACAGACAAAAAAAATACTAAGAGGGATAGTGTATTAAGTTGTGCATTAACAGTCAGGGCTATGCTGATCAAGTCACTGTTTCTCATAGTGTCCATTTCACTTTAGGTGGTTTCCTTTTTGGTGTTCAGTCAGTTGTCACCAATCAGGGAGAACATATGGTATTTGTCCCTTTGGGACTGGCTTACTTCACTCAGCATGATGTGTTCCAGATTCCTCCATTTTGTTGCAAATTACTGGATTTCGTTGTTTCTTACTGCAGTATAGTATTCTAAAGAATACATATCCCATAATTTCTTTATCCAGTCTACCGTTGATGGGCATTTAGGTTGGTTCCAGGTCTTGGCTATTGTGAATTGTGCTGCAATAAACATTAGGCTGCAGACCGCTTTTTTGTTTGTCAATTTAAACTCCTTTGGGTAAATTCCCAGGAGTGGGATGGCTGGGTTTAATGGTAGGGTTATCTTCAGGTTTCTGAGGAATCTCTGGCCTGACTTCCATAGTGGCTTGACCAGTTTGCATTCCCACCAACAGTGGGTTAGTGTCCCTTTTTCCCCACATCCTCGCCAGCATCTGTTGTTGCTAGATTTCTGTATGTGAGCCGTTCTAACTGGGGTGAGGTGAAACCTTATTGTGGTTTTGATTTGCATTTCCCTGATTGCTAATGACCTTGAACATTTTTTCATGTGCCTGTAGGCCATTTGGACTTCCTCTTTTTAAAAATGTCTATTGAGGTCCTTGGCCCATCTCTTAAGTGGGTTGTTGGTTTTGTTTTTGTGGAGCTTCTTGATCTCTTTGTAGATTCTGGTTATTAACCCTTTATCTGTTGCATAGTTTGCAAATATTTTTTCCCATTCTGTCGGTTGTCTCTTCACTCTCCTGACTGTTTCTTTTGCAGTACAGAAACTTCTCAATTTGATGCAATCCCAATAGTGGATTTTGGCTTTGACTGTCCGTGCAGTGGTGAGAGTGGGCATTCCTGCCTGGCGCCAGATTTCAGTGGAAATGCTTCCAACTTTTCCCCATTCAATAGGATGCTGGCTGTGGGTTTTTTATAAATTGCTTTGATTATATTGAGGAATGTTCCTTCTATACCCAATTTGCTTAGAGTTTTCATCATGAACGGGTGTTGTATTTTATCAAATGCTTTCTCGGTGTCTATTGAGATAATCATATGGTTTTTCTTCTGCTGTCTGTCAATGTGGTGTATCACATTGATGGATTTGTGAATGTTGAACCATCCCTGCATACCAGGGATAAATCCCACTTGGTCTGGGTGGATGATCTTTCTGATGTGTTGCTGCATTCTATTGGCCAGAATTTTATTGAGGATTTTTGCATCTATGTTCATCAGGGATATTGGTCTGTCATTCTCTGTCAATGCTGCATCTTTCTTTGGCTTAGGGATTAAGGTGATGCTGGTTTCATAGAAAGAATTTGGGAGGATTCCATCTTTTTTGATTGTTCCGAATATTTTGAGAAGAATTGGTGTTAGTTCTTGTTTAAATGTGTGCTAGAATTCAGCAGTGAATCCGTCTGGTCCTGGGCTTTTCTTTGTAGGGAGGGCCTTTATTACTGTATCAATTTCTGTCTCGGTTATGGGTCTCTTTAGGTTTTCTGTCTTCCTGGTTCAATTTAGGTAGGCTGCATGTGTCCAGGAATCTATCCATTTCTGATAGGTTTCCCTGTTTGCTGGCATACAGGTCCTTGTAGTAATTTCTGATGATTCGTTTTATTTCTGTGGTGTCCTTTGTTTCATTTCCTTTTTCCTTTTTTTCTCTGATTTTAATTATTTCTCTTGTCCTACTAGATTTGGGTCTTGTTTGCTGCAGATTTTCTGGATCCTTGAGATGCAGTGAAAGCTCATCTATTTGGTGCCTTTCCAATTTCTTGATGTATGCAGCTATTGCTATAAACTTTCTTCTTAACACTGCTTTTGCTGTATCCCATAAGTTTTGGTATGTTGTGGTGTTATCCTCATTTACTTCCAGAAAATTTTTGATTTCTTTTTAATTTCTTCTATGACCCATTGTTCATTCAGGAGCATGTTGTTCAATCTCCATGAGTTTGCATATGCTCTAGGGATTCCTGAGTTGCTAATTTCCAACTTCATTCTTTTATGGCCTGAGAAGCCTCATGGTATGATTCTAATTCTTTTGAATTTGCTGAGACTTGCTTTATGGCCTAGTATGTGGTCAATCCTAGAGAAGGTTCCATGTACTGCTGAGAAGAATGTAAATGCTTTCTGTGTAGGATGAAAAGTTCTGTAGATATCTGTTAGATCCATTTGGGCTATAGTGTCAATTAAATCTATTGTCTCCTTGTTGATCTTCTGTCCTGTTGATCTGTCTGTTTCTGAGAGTGGAGTATTGAAGTCCCCAAGTACTATTGTATTGGAGTCTAAACATCCCCTTAAGTCCCTCAACAAATCTTTTAAATAAACCAGTGCCCTGTAATTAGGTGCATATACATTGATAATCATTATATCTTCCTGTTGAATTGATCCCTTAATCATCATATAGTGCCCCTCTTTGTCTCTCTTAACAGTTTTTGTGTTAAAGTTTATTTTGTCTGATATTAAGATGGCTATGATGACTTTTTCATTTCTATTTGCATGCTGTATCTTTTTCCAGCCTTTCATTTTCAGTCTATATGCATCTTTATTGGAAAGATGTGTTTCTTGTAAGCAGCAAATAGATGGGTTTCGTTCCTTAACCCAATCAGCCACTCGGTGTCTTTTAACTGGACAGTTCAGGCCATTCACGTTCAATGTGACTATTGATAAGTAGTAGCTTTGCCCTGCCATTTGCCAAAGATATTTTCTGATATAAGTTTTGAACTTCCTGTGATCATTTGGTGTGTTAGATTTCCTTCATTTACCTTCTTTCATACTGATGACCGTGTTTCTGTGTTTCTGTGTGTAACACATCTTTAAGCATCTTTTGCAGGGCTGGACGAGTGGCGACAAATTCTTTCAATTTCTGTTTATTGTGTAAGGTCTTTATTTCACCTTCATTCACAAATGAGAGCTTACCAGGAAATAATACTCGTGGCTGGCACGTTTTCTCTCTTAGTACCTGGGCTATATCTCGCCATTCCCTCCTAGCTTGAAGGGTTTCTGATGAGAAGTCAGCTGTGAGTCTGATTGGAGATTCTCTGAGAGTAATCTGACATTTCTCTCTTGCACACTTTAGGATCTTTTCTTTCTGTTTCACTGTGGTGAGTTTGATTACAACGTGTCGTGGTGAGGATCTCTTTTGGTCACGTTTATTAGGGGTTCTGTGAGCTTCCTGTACTAGGATGTCTCTGTCCTTCTCCAAACCTGGGAAATTTTCTGCTAATATCTCACTAAAAAGGCCTTCTAATCCTTTGTCCCTCTCCATGCCTTCAGGAACTCCTAGAACCTGAATGTTGGGTTTTTTAATAGTATCCTGAAAATTCCTGACAATATTTTTTAGATTTCTACTTTCATCTCCTTTTCTTTGGTTTGATTGTATATTTTCCTGTGCTCTGTCTTCTAAGTCTGATATTCTCTCTTCTGTTTCACCCATTCTGTTTTTGAGGCTCTACTAGTTTTTTCATTTCATTTTGATTCCTCCTTAATATTTCATTTTCATGAGAGAGATTTTCTATCTTGTCCATTAAGGATTTCTGTAGTTCGAGAATTTGTTTTTGAGAACTTCTTAATGTTCTTATCAATTTTTTAAGATCTGCTTCTTGCATTTCTTCTATGTCATCATCTTCATAATCTTGAACTGGGGTGTCTATTTCATTTGGGGGTGTCATAGTGTCTTCCTTGTTTTTGTTACCTCGGCTTTTTTTTTTATTTTTCTTTTTTTTTAAACTTTTATTTAATGAATATAAATTTCCAAAGTACGACTTATGGATTACAATGGCTTCCCCCCATACCATCCTTCCCACCCACAACCCTCCCCTTTCCCACTCCCTCTCCCCTTCCATTCACTGTGGCACTAGATTAAGAGGACTGTCTGCTTTTGATGGATCCTTAGAGGCTGTGATGGGTGTGGCCAGAGAGCTCTGGATCTACAGGGTTAAGGGTGTGCCAAAGGTGATTCACCCTGATTGTTCTCTTGCCCTGTCTCTCTCTCTCTCTCTCTCTCTTTTGACTCAGTTGGGAAGTAATTCCACACAGCTGAGTGGAATTGAGAGTAGTTGATGTATGAAATGTGGCCCCTGTGGCTATTCGTTTGCTTACCAGAGTCAGGTTTTTCTGCTTGGCTAATGAGGGGCACCCACTTTGCATATGCAAAATGGTACGCACCAGCACCACTTTACTGATGTAAAATGGCGCCTGCCCTTTGTCTTGCTCGGCTTTTTAAGGTGAGTGGAGAGAGAGGCTAAATGTCCATGCCAGTTCCCCTTATTTATTTGATTTTTTCTCTCCTCCAGCCATCCTGGTGAACTTTCCCCAATGGGGTTTCAGGCCTCGTTCTCTGCAGGGTCTTTCTGGCTTTCCCCACCAATGTCTCAGGTTACCAAGAGGTTTTTTTTTCTCACCTCCCCTTCCCGTGCTGGCACGAAGACTGCAGCTCCAGCAGGTTAGGCGGGTTCAGCGGGTCCGGCGGGTCTGGTGGCTCCAGAGGCTCCTGTAGCTTGGCTTCCTTGTGGTGGGTGACCTTGCTCTCCCTGTAGGTCCTCAGAGTCACAGCCACTAGATCTGGAAGAGTTCCCTCTGCAGTTTTTCCCTGATCCTTTTCCTGAGGCTACCGTAGCTCCACTTTTATTAAACTATCTTTTCCCGGACTATCGGTGTGCGCCCTCACTATTCCGCCATCTTCCAGTCTTATTTCTGTGCATTCCTTTTAATACTGTATCTTTAATATTATATGTGAGACTAAGGATGACTAATTAAAACCACAACACTTTCTCTCAGGTCTATGGAATTTATTAAGAGAAATGTTCCAAGTGATATATGAATACCACAACCTAATTAAGCACACAATTTAGTATCCCTATAAAAACTTTTGAACAAGACAAGAAATTACCTTTCAAAATTATGAATCAAAATGAATGTACTGAGAAGTATAAAAATATACTAGGTCTCAATAAGAACTATTTCCATTGTTCACAATATTAAGAGATAGACCTTGGAGTCATTTGATTCAATGATGTTATCAGTAGCAACCATTTGGTTTCAATCTTTCCCAAGAGGAAATTTATATTGTTAGTCATTAGAAAGGTAAAGAAACAATGACTTAACTTATCCATAATGGGTTTGGGAATACCACTAATGTATAAAAAATTATGAAAAATGAATGAACATACACTTGAAGCCCATTGTGCAGCAGCATTTGCTTGTGTGCCCTCAGAATGTCTCTGAGATCACACCTGTTGAATATATGAAGAATGAGTATCTCCAGATAAAAATTGCCAGGGAGAATTATTTTAAAATGTTTCTGAATATTTTATGATTGAATGAGTACCACCTGCAAAAATTGTATAATACCTTTATGATAAAGGTAGCCAAATCAATACCATTTTCTGTATTTAACTGAAATGTCATTGAAGCAGAGAAATACCCATTCACTGACCTCTATTTAGGATTTCTTTGTTGTGTAATGGCACAAGAGTTTTTTCATGAGGGACAATGTGGTGTGCAGAGCTCAAAGTATTCCATTCCTTCCATGAGGCAGAAGGGTAATGAGCCCTTATTTCAGGTGAAATTGGAAAGTTTCAAAAACCTAATTTCTCCTTGAAAATTTTGTTGAAAATATCAGTTATACCCAAATGACTTATAATAAAGTCAAACACCTCCATAAAATCCAAATGTTTTAGATTTGATAAAATATATTTCAACCTTTGCATTGAATAACTGACAAAAATTGTCCCAGAGTTATGAAAATATAAAACAAGGAAAGACTTTTTTTTACCAGATATCAAATAGTATCAATGAAGAAATGCTAGATATTGATTGTTGTAAGGATTTCATAGGCATTTTGCATTTTTATTTCTCTGCAAGAGAAGGAAAGCTCTAAAGCTGATTATCCTAGGCAAATGTTCTAAGCCATGATGATGCAGGATTGAGCACGAGAAAGACTGGAGGCAGCAGGGGGAGGAATTCAGAAGAATGCAAATAGACATCACTGTGCCACAGGATGAGCCACCCTAACCACTCATTTGCTAAAGATGCCATTTGAAATAGTTTGTTCCCATTTGTAGATGAGAATTCTCCCTGGGTCAGGAATGTAGAAACTTGCTCTGGTGTGGCCTCATATTTTTAAGAAAACTTTTATTTAATAAATACAAATTTTGAAAGTACAACTTTTGGATTATAGCAGTTTTCCCCCCCATAACTACTACCCCATGCACAAACAATCCCATCTCCTTCTCTTCCATCCCATTCTTCATTGATTCATTTTTAATTATCTTTATATGCAGAAGATCAATTTAGTATAAACTAACCAAAGATTTCAACAGATTGCACCCACACAGTCATACAAATTATAAAGTACTGTTTGAAGACTAATTTTACCATTAATTATCATAGTAGAACATATTAGGACAGAGATCCTACGTGGGGAGTAAGTGCACAGTGACTCCTGTTGTTGATTTAATAATTGACACTCTTATTTATAATGTCAGTGATCAACTGAGGCTCTTGTCATGAGCAGCCAAGGCTATGGAAGCCTCTTGAGTTCACAAACTCCGACCTTATTTAGACAAGGTCGTAGTCATAATGGAAATGCCTCCCTTCAGAGAAAGATACCTCCTTTGATGGCCTGTTCTTTCTGCTGGGATCTCACTCACAGAGATATTTCATTTAGGACATTTTTTACCACAGTGTCTTGGCTTTCAATGCCTGAGAAACTCTCATGGGCTTTTTATTCAGATTGGAATGCCTTAAGGAATGAATCTGAGGCCAGAGTGCTGTTTATGGCATTTGCCATTCTATGAGTCTGCTGTGTATCCCACTTCTAATGTTGGATCATTCTCTCCTGTTTAATGCTATCAATTATTATTAGCTGACAATGGTCTTATTTATGTGTTCCCTTTGATATTTAATCCTATCTTTATGATCAATTTTGAAGTTAAACTGATCACTTTAACTGGTAAGATGGCATGGTTATCTGGGTGTGGCCTCATATTACATCAGAGTATTTTATACTCAAAATGGCATTGCAAAGTAACCATTTTTCCCAACAGGGAAAATTTCAGAATTTCAGCAATGGAAACTCAGCCTTTCTTCTTCCACAGATGCAGAACAGTGTATCCAGTGTGCAGAGCATGAGTATCCGAACATGGAGAGAAGTCACTGCCTCCCCAAGCTAATGACCTTCTTAGCCTTTGAGGATGCCCTGGGGATGGCTCTGGTTTGCATGGCTCTGTGCTTCTCTGTAACCACAGCTGCAGTTTTGGGAGTCTTTGTGAAGCACCGAGACACTCCCATCGTCAAGGCCAATAACCGGTCTCTCAGCTACATCCTGCTCATCGCACTCCTCCTGTGCTTCCTGTGCTCCTTACTCTTCATTGGCTGTCCCAACACAGCCATCTGCCTCCTCCGACAAATAACATTTGGTCTTGTGTTCACGGTGGCTATTTCTGCTGTGCTGGCCAAGACCATCACTGTGATTCTGGCTTTCAAGGTTATGAAACCTGGAAGAACAATGAGGCGATTGCTTGTATCTGGAGCTTCTAACTTCATCATTCCCATCTGTTCCTTGATCCAACTAGCTCTCTGTGGCATCTGGTTGGGAATCTCTCCTCCATTTATTGAGTTAGATGCATATGCTGAGCCTGACCACATCATCCTGGTGTGCAACAAGGGCTCAGTCACTGCCTTCTACTGTGTCCTGGGCTACCTGGGTTCCTTGGCCCTAGCGAGCTTCACTGTAGCTTTCCTAGCCAGGAATCTGCCTGACACTTTCAATGAAGCCAAGTTCCTGATGTTCAGCATGCTGGTGTTCTGCAGTGTCTGGGTGACCTTCCTGCCTGTCTACCACAGCACCAAGGGGAAGGTCATGGTGGCCGTGGAGGTCTTCTCCATCTTGGCCTCCAGTGCGGGACTCCTGGGGTGCATTTTTGCCCCCAAATGCTACATTATTCTTATAAGGCCTGAAAAGAATTCTCTGAAAGGCTTAAAGAAAAGAGCAAGTTCTAAGGGATTCTAATATTTTTCTGCTTGTTTTGTTGTCACATTTTCAGAGTTTGGTGCCAAAACCAAACTGATATAACATTCCATATATATAAAATAACTAAAATTAACTTTTCCTTTGAAAATGACTTCTAGGTAAGACACTTAGCCTAGCAGATTACATGGGATCAGTTTCTGGCTCTGACTCCTGGCCTGTACTTTTGACTCTTGGGGACCCTGGAAGGAAGTGGTGATGGATTATGGAACTTGGTTCTGTCCACACATATGAGAATCCTGGTTTGACTCCCTATTTTGGGTCTAGCCACAGCCTAAGTATAGGCATTTGGGGTGTAGAAGCATGAGGTATAGAATGAGAGGTGTCTATGCCTCAGTAGTCACTAATGTTCTGGCAGCCAATATCATACTGAATGGAGAGAAGCTGAAAGCATTTCCCCTCAGATCTTGAACACAATAGGCATGTCTACTTTCAACATTCTTATTCAGTACATAACTTGAAGTGTTGGCAGGAGCAATTAGGGAGGAGGAAGAAATAAAGGGCATCAAAATTGGAAAGGAGGGGGCCAGCACTGTGGCATAGCAGGTAAAGCCACCCCCTGCAGTACTGGCACTGCCATATGGCACTGGTTTGAGATCTGGCTGCTCCTCTTCCTATCCAGCTCTCTGCTATGGCCTGGGAAAGCAGTGGAAGATGGCCTAAGTTGTTGGGCCCCTGCACCCATGTGGGAGACCTGGAAGAATCTCCTGGCTCCTGGCTTCAGATTGGTGTAGCTCTGGTCATTGATGCCATTTGGGGAGTGAACCAGCGGGTGGAAGATCTTTCTCTTTCTGACTCTCCTTCTTTCTTTGTGTGACTCTGACTTTAAAATAAATAAATCAATCTTGGGGCCGGTGCTGTGGTTCACTAGGTTAACACCCTGGCCTGAAGTGCTAGCATCCCATATGGGCACCTGTTTGAGTCCCAGCTATTCTACTTCCTATCCAGCTCTCTGCTATGGACTGGAAAAGCAGAAGTCCTTGGGCCCCTGCACCCAAATGGGAGACCCAGAAGAAGATCCTGGCTCTGGCTTCATATAGGCACAACTTTGGCCATTGTGGCCAACTGGGGAGTGAACCCTCGAGTGGAAGACCCCCCTCACCCCCACCTCTCCTCTCTCTGTGTAACTCTAAATTTCAAATAAATTAAATACCTCTTTAAAATGAATGAATGAATGAATGAATCTTTAAAAAAATTGGAAAGGAGGAGGTCAAACCATGTGTTTTCAAATGACATGACATTTTACATGAAAAATCCTAAATGCTCCACCAGAAAGCTGTAGAACTGATAAACCAATTCAGTAAAGTTGCAGGTTGCAAATAAACACCAAAAAGCCCATGGGCTCTTTAACACCCTAATGATGAACTCATCGATAAAGAAATCAAGAAAGAAATCTCATTCATAATATCCACAAAACAATCCAATACTTTGGAATAAATTTAACCAAAGAAATGCAAGATCTCTACAATGAAAGTTATGAAACATTGATGAAAGAAATCATCAAGGACACAAAAATATAGAAAGATATTCCTTGTTCATGAAATCAGTATCTTTAAAATATCTATAGTAACTAAATAAATCTACACATTCTGTACAAAACCTGCCAAAGTACTAAGGGTATTCTTCAGGTAGAAAGGGCAATCTTAAAATTCATATGGAATCACAAAAGATCCAGAATAGCCAAAATGATCTTGAGGAAAAAAAATCAAGTTGGAGGCTTCACAATACTTGATTTTAAAGCATATTACAAAGATACAGTACAGCACACTAAGGACAGAGATCCTACATGAGGAGTAAGTGCACAGTGACTCTTGTTGTTGACTCAACAAATTGACACTCTTGTCTATGGCATCAGTAATCACCCTAGGCTCTTGTCATGAGCTGCCAAGGCTATGGAAGCCCCCTGAGTTCACCGACTCTGATCACATTTAGAGAAGGCCATGGTCAAAGTGGAAGTTCTCTCTTCCCTTCATAGAAAGGTACCTCCTTCTTTGATGACCCATTCTTTGCACTGGGATCTCACTTGTAGAGATCTTTCATTTAGTTTTTTTTCCCAGTGTCTTGGCTTTCCATGCCTGTAATACTCTCATGGGCTTTTCAGCCGGATCCGCATGCCTTAAGGGCTGATTCGGAGGCCAGAGTGACTGATCTTCTGTATATAAAGAGAATCGAAATGAATCTTGATGTGAATGCAAGGGGAGAGGGAGTGGGAAAGGGGAGAGGGGAGGGTTGTGGGTGGGAGGGACGTTATGGGGGGAAGCCATTTTAATCCATAAGCTGTACTTTGGAAATTTATATTCATTAAATAAAAGTTAACAAAAACCAAAGATATAGTAATGAAAACATCGTGGTACTAGCATGAAAACTGACATATAGATAACTAGAGCAAATTAGAGGGCCTAGAAATTAATCAATGAATATATTACAAATGTATTTTTGACATAAGTATTCAAACCACACATTGTTGAAAGGATAATCTATTCAAGAAATGGTGCTGGCAAAATTGGATGTATATATGCAGAAGAATGAACCAGGTCCTTACCTCTCACCATATGCAAAAATCAACTCAAGATGGATCAAAGACCCAAGTTGAAGACCTGAGAGTATACAGTTGCTGGAAGAAAATTGGGGTAAGCATCTTGAGACACTGGGTTAGGTGATGACTTTTTGGATAAAAACCCCTAAATCATAGGCAACAAAAGAAGAACTAGAGAAATGGGTTTGCTATAAACTCAGAAGCTTCAGTACAGCAAAAGATACAATCAATAGAGTGAAGAGACATTCAACAGAATGGGAAAATATTTTTTAATTTTACTTACAAGTTTTATGTGTTTCATATATACAGATTTAGGAACATAGTGATACTTCTCCTCGTACCCTCCTTCATGCCCACACTCCAACACTGCTTCTTCCTACCTCTCCCATTCCTACTTTTAATTTTTACAAATATCTATTTTCAATGTACTTGGTGATCATATAGTTAACCCTACACTCAGTAAAAGTGTTCAACAAATTGTGTGAAACAATAACCACTCTTCTGCAACAGAAGAGACAAAGACTGTAAACGATCACTGAACCTCAAAATGTCCATTTTACCCCAATACATTATATTTCAGGCACGGTGTTAGTTACCTTGGGTCAGAGAAAATATGATATCTGTCTTTTTGGGACTGGCTTATTTCACTAAGTATAATGTTTTCCAGTTGCATCCATCTTGTTACAAAAGACAGGATTTCCTTTTTTAACAGCTGAGTAGTACTCCATAGTGTATATATTCTATAATTTCTTTATCCAGTCAACAGTTGATGGACACATAGCTTGTTTCCGTATCTTAGCTAGTAAGAATGGTGATGCAATGAACATGAGGGTATAGATAACTCCTTCAGGTGCTGGTTTCTTTTGGTTTGGGTAAATTCCCAGGAGTGGGATGGCTGGATCATATCTAGGTCTATATTCAGATGTCTGAGGTATCTCTATTGTTTTCCACAATGGCTGCACCAATTTACATGCCCACTGACAGTGGATTAGGGAACCCTTTCCACCACATCCTTGCCAGCATTTGTTGTTTGTTGATTTCTGTAAGAGAGCCATTCTAACTGGAGTGAGGTGAAACCTCATTGTGGTTTTGATTTGCATTTCCCTGATGGCTAGTGATCCTGAACATTTTTTCATGTGTCTGCTGGCCATTTGGATTTCCTCTTTTGAAAAATGCCTATTCAAGTCCTTTCCCCATTTCTTTCTTAATAGGATTGTATTTTTTGTTGTTGTTGGATGTTAAGCTCTTTTTAGATTCTGCATGTTAACCCTTTATCAGTGGCATAGGTTGCAAATACTTTTTCATCTGTCGATTGCCGCTCCATTTTGCTGCGTGTTTCTTTTGTGGTGCAGTAGCTTTTCAGCTTGATGTAACCCCATTTGTCCATCTTGGCTTTGATTGCCTGTGTTTCTGAAGTCTATTCAAAAAAGTCTCTGCCTATGCCAAAGTCTTGTAGAGTTTCCCTAATATTATCTAGTAATTTTATGGTATTGGTCATAGATTTAGGTCTTTGATCCATTTTGAGTGGATTTTTTCGTAACTTGTATGGTATGGGTCTAGTTTTATACTTCTGCAAGTGGAGATCCAGTTTCCCCAGAACCATTTGTTGAAGAGTCTGAGCTTGCTCCAGGGATTGATTTTAGCTCCTTTGTCAAAGATACATAGTTTGTAGATGCGTGGATTGATTTCTAGGGTTTCTGTTTTGTTCCATTGGTCTACATGTCTGTTTTTGTGCCAGTACCAGGCTGTTTTAAAGATTTATTGGAAAGACAAAGTTATGAGAGATGTAGAGACTGAGAGAGAGGTTTCCATCTGCTGGTTCACTCCCTAGATGGCCACCATAGCTGCAGTTGTGCTGATCTTAAGCCAGGAGCCAGGAGCTTCTTCCAGGTCTCCCACATGGGTGCAGGGGCCCAACAAGTTGGGCCATCTTCTACTGATTTCCCAGGCCATAGCAGAGAGCTAGATTGGGAGAGGAGCAGCCAGGACTAGAACCAGCACCCATGTAGGATGGCAGCGCTACAGGCTAGGGCTTTAACCCGCTGTGGCACAGCTCCAGCCCAATACCAGGGTGTTTTGATTATAAATCCCCTGTGTTAATTCTTGAAATCTGGTATTGCAATGTCTTGTGCTTTGTTTTTGTTGTATAGGTTTGCTTTAGCTATTTGGGGTATCTTGTATTTCCATATAACTTTTAGCAGCATTTCTTTTCTAGATCTGAGAAGAATGTCATTGTTATTTTGATTGGGATTACATTGAACCTGTAAATTGCTTTCAGTAGTGTGGAAATTCTGAAAATAATGATTCTTCCAATCCATGAACCTGGGAGAATTTTCCATTTTTAAGGTTTTCTACTCTTTTTTAAAATGTTTTATAATTTTTATCATAGAGATCTTTGGCCTCCTTGGTTAAATTTATTCCAAGGTATCTATTTTTTGTAGCTATTTTTATGTTTTATTTTTCTGAGGGAGGAATAACTTATAATGCTGTTTAGTTTCATACTGTTGGTGTGTTGGTGAATTTTTAAACTGTGTGCCAAATGCAATAAATTATATGAACTGAGAAAAAATGCACTTATCCTTAAAATAAAACACTGCAAGTAGAAATTGTGTAAAATATTTCATGAATTTAACACAACTTGAAATGACAGTCTGTTAATCTTAACCTTCAAACACATGAATCAATGAAAAGCAACCAACAGAGGATTGCATAAATTTATTTAATCCCACATAATTTTTAACAGGTATGAATTTAACACTCAAATTATGGATGAAATATAGAAATAAGAAAAAATTCCTAGAAAGAGGAGCAATGTTATCCATTGTGAGAAAACAAAACATCCACTCTCTTGGGCATGTAACATTTGAGAGCCATTATCAAATCCCAAGAACTCTTATTTTTGCTTAAGATAGAAAAATGCAGAGAATGTTCAACAATAAAATGTGAAATGATAAAATAGAATCCTGAGCAATAGGAAAAGAGTGAATAAAAATTGAGTGAACATTGTGAATATTCTGACAATTAGACGTTCTAAACCAAATGCTTATTTTCAAGGCAAATATAATTGAATGAAATTGCTTCTATAAGAGTTGATACATAATTGGAAAATTATAGAGAGGTCTCAAGAAAATGGCTTTGGTGAATAGATTAGAGATACTCCTGAATGCTTGGATAACTGACAAGTCAGATGGTATTCAACCATTTCAGAAGGTACTGAAAAGAGAGATGCTTGCCTCTTGGGTTCCATCCCTAAGTAGAAGTGAA